GTAAACCAGTCTGTTTTAAGGCCGTAGAAGCAGCTTTATAGTCTATTAGAAGAAGGGCAATAACATGTGATAGAAGACTTTAAGTTGTTACAATGTGCTTGTTTCAGTAGTGATACAGAGGTACAATATCCAGATAATGCTCAAGAATAGTGGTATCAGTGGTGGATGTCCAAGTTCTGCTATGAGGAGAGGATGGTGAAGAATTTCTCGGAGTCCAGCAAAGAGCGCTATATATGGCTGCTATTCTATGCTATAGTGTGAGCTTCTGTAGTGTAGAGGTTGCACATGCTGTGTTGAACACTGAAATTGCAGGTTGCTGGTTCAATTCCCTGTGGTGGCATTTTTTTTGCCGCCGCTGCACCCGCTAACAAATATTGTACACTTGACCTTGATCAAGAGCAGCTGTCCTTTGATTGACTTCCATGCATATCATCTTGATTCAATACATCTCACAGTGAACTTGGGCATGAACTTGAACAGGGACTTGGAGGACTTGGCCAAGTACCTGGTACTTGGCCAAGTCAACCCACCCGACTTGGCCAAGTCCATTGTACTTGGGGTACTTGAGGTACTTGGGATACTTGAGGTACTTGGCCAAGTACCCCAAGTACCTGTACAAGTCCGTGACGTTTTCCTGATGAAGCCAATTGGCAGAATCAATTGGCTAGATTGTGCTTGCCCCTACCACTTTCGTTCTCCACTGTCTTTGGTGAAATGGAAATAAACGCTCTACATAAGTTGTTTGAATAGACTTTGGACGTCTCTCTTGACGAAATACAACTCGAAGCTCACTTTCGGAGTGCGAGTCTTACAGGGCGCTTACAGATGTATACGGGCGTCTGGGAATTGGCTTCAATTGGCTTCAATTGGCTCGCTTCCCTTCAAGGGGCTTTGAAGGGAATCAGGGGAGAACCCAAGATGCTCGGCCCAATCGATTGGCTCAATTGGGTGCATTGCCCTGATTATATTCAAATATATTCAAAGCCAATCAAAATGCACTTTTGCTGATGGACCTTGCAGGGCGCCTGGACATTGACAGCCATTTCTTGCTGAGCATTCGGACAGCAGCTACCATGCTATAGGGGAACTAAGGCCGATGATGTACATTATTGACTGAGCCAATGGACATATATGGTCAGTATCTGGTGCGAATTCTACTATGGATGCCCAAGCTCACGCTATGAAATGGTCGATTTGGATCGTTTACGAAGAAAGCTAGCCGACAGATTATCGCACAATTCAATGTTGTATATTCCATAATTAATAGTCATTGAGGGCAGACTACTATACATGGAAGAAGAGAGACATAAAAATATTTACCAAGTACTTGCGCAATTCGGCGGGGTTAGGGTTAGTAGCATTAGAGCTTGTAGGCGAACATGTTGATGTCAAAGACAAGCTCGTAGAATTACGGGGCGAAGGTGACCGGGCAGACTGTCTTCTTGTCGTGGGGCTGCAGGCGGGTCTTGGAGTGAAATGTGCACGACGGCTGGGCAAGGAGGGAGGGGACATACGTAGTGTTGTGCAAGGCTGGGCTTCAAGCCCTGAAGCCCCGGGTACCCGGCCCTCAAAAGCCCGGCCCAGCCCAGCCCGCTGCTGGGCTTTCAGGGCTTGAGGGCTGGGCTTGAGTGTTTGCAAGCCCGAGCCCGGCCCTCAAGCCCGGGCTTATGGGAGGTCTCAGTGTCCAACTGTATAAGGGTTTGGGACAGTTTACTGGGATGCTACAAGGTAAATAAAGCTGGAGAACATCAGTAACAATTGACAAAACTTGACGGTACTGCCTTCCGGCGGACCTGGAGCAGACGAAACATGTGAGTCGGATAAGCGCTAGAGCTGCCTGATTCACTCACTACTCTCCTGCGGCGTTCATCAATCTCCTACTGTTCTCTCTTTGCCTTTCGCGGCCCCAATCGTGCTGCCGATACTCTCTGTAAAGTACAGCAAGTGTTCTTAATGAGAACAGGTATGTTTTGAATACAAAATCCCCGTTCCTATGTGACAGACATAGAGCCCGGGCTCGAGCCCGACCCGACCCGAGCCCAGCCTGAGGCCCCACTAGGGCCCGGCTCGACTGTTCAGTGGGCCTGAGCCCTCCAAAGCCGGGCCCTAACCCGGGCTTTTGAGCCCAGCCCGGCCCTGCACAACACTAGACATACGTATGCGGAGTAGGCAGGGCTGTCTCGAAGCAGGTGGGGTTGTATGCGCAGACCTGCTTCTCAAGATCGTCGGGGGTGGCAAAGGAGTACTAGCGGAGTGAATGTCGCCCTAGAGCGTGAACACGAACTTACGGTGGGTGGAGGGCTTTGTGGGTGTGTGCTTGCGGTTGGGCCAGTTGGAGATGGACTTAGAAGGGATACAATCGAGAGGTGGGGGGTTTTGAGGGCCACATTTCAGGGCAGGGTCGGCAGGATAGCTGTGCGTCATCGATGAGCAGGCTTGAGTGACTTGTGGAGAGTCTATGTAGAAGGGTGAGGATCGTGAAGGGAAGGTCGCCCACTTGGGGTGATAAACTCGAAGCTGTGAAGACAAAGATTGAGTCCGACTAGAGTCGAAGCTAGATCTTCAGTCAGTAAGGAAAGACTATATTGCAGCAACGAACTGTACCTAGAGTTGAAGCAAGACTACAAAGGTTAAGTAAGTAACTACAAGTTAGAGATAGATGTAACGAAGTACTCACTCTTCAGTCAGTAAGGAAAAACTGAAGAGGGAGGACACAATCTGAAGTCCTTATATACTACAGAGAAGTGTCTATGACTAATCGAAGAGTGGTTAGTCACATGTACCATAGTGCAATGAATAATACGATGGTGAAAGAATTGCGACGTATCGCACCATAGGATGAGTAAGAGATGAGTAAGGCATAGACCTATCTAGACCGTTCTGGAGTAGTACGGATCGTCCTAGACAGTACCAGAAGAGTCTGGAAACATAGCTATAGTACACGAGCAGAGAGTCCCAAATATGGTAACATACTACATAAGCGACTACAGCTAAGCGCTAGGAGACGCATAGCCTCATGTAGTCCGGACCGGATAAGTCCAAGTTCAACACTCCCACTCAATCCGTACCTACGGAAGAGCGTTCAGTGTCAAAGACCAACACCTTCACAGAACTTCTTGACGATTGTCAGAGGAACATTCTTTGTG